CTTTAACCCGCCAAAAGTTCTGTTAATTGCATAGTTTTTACATTTTCCCCTAACCTTAAGTAATATATACTAGTTCTGAAGTAAATCGAATTTACCCGTATGAATCGTCTTATGTCATTTATTGCCGATAAACAGAATATGCACACTTTCTGAAAGTAATGTGTGATAAGTCACGCACCAAACCTATACTCTCGATATACATGTTGCGCTTCCTTAAAAAACTATTGGGTTAACAAGATACGTATATTAAAGTGTCATGCTTTCCTGATATGTTATCATTCTAATTTGAAATAATGACATAAATAGTTACCACTCATCTTTCAATATTTTTCAAGGTTGGGTTATCACGAACATATTTGAATATATACAACAGCTGTACTTGCTTATCTTTATACTTAAAAGCATCAGGTTTGTCTGTCATACAGACCCCGAAACAAATATGTCCAATACAGCCCAATATTTGGCAAAATGAAGAAGGTCTCTCGGCTCCTTTTTATTATATTTTATAACTATTGTTTAATTACTGGGTTTTTTCTGTCAAATATGTTCAGAGATTAGATGTTATTCTAGCATCAGGTCTGTGGTACGTTCACTACATCAGCGTTGACATTTAAACGATCTTTACATATATAAATACATACAGAAGAAATGCTTAGCATTTACCTTTTAAGGAAGAGTGCAGGACGACTTATTTTATACATAATATATCTGGACATATATGTATGGACATTTGGATGAATATAGATATACTTCCTTATAGATAGTGTTCGTAGATGATTGTAGAACGTGCATGAAGAAAATGGAATAATTATGTATAGACATATAGACATGCATGGGATCTTTTGGATAGTTGTACCTCACGGCTAGACTAACGCTTAGTCTCGGAAAATATATTATTTTGATTAAAACGAGAAACTATATTTAAATTTAAAAGGAGCCCCAGTGGGATGGAAATTTTAGCCTGAACCTGTTGAACATCTAGGCTTGTTTCATTTGGGGCTATAGCATTGCAGTGAGGCCTGGGCGGAAGGGAAAACCTGTTTACGAAAATAAAATACGAAAAATGTCGGAAGTGTTTCTTCTTTATCCTTCTAATTTTCTATTTAGATACATGTTTTATATTTAAAGTAATTATATGTATCTCATGTTCAAAAAATGTATTATTGGTATCTGTGGTTCTGGTACCGTTTTGTCGCCATTGTCTAGCTTTTGTGGAGTTGCTATGAATATCAAATACATGTCTTGAAATATGGACTTGTAACAGAACCCATCATTGAACCATTTGCAGTCTTACCCATCTAATTGCCGTGTATGGACATATTATCCATCTACTTATACACACTTATTATGGACATATACAAAATTTCATTGTACCTTATTATTAAAAAAATACCCGTGAAGATCGGGGTTTGAATAGGCCTTCAACAACCCATGCTTGTACAAAGGCGACTCACATTATCGTGTGTTCAGGCTCGCTGACTTGATTGATGCATGTCTTCGTATCCGAATTGCGTAGATCGGTGCTCTTGATGATGATAACTGGATTGTCTGGTCCAGACTGGATTATTTACGAACCACCGTCATATAGCTGGTATAGTGCTGAGTGCGGCGTTTAACAACAAACACTCAAACAAAAACTATTATTAAACACCTTCCAACAATGAGAAATTAAACTTATATTTTCTATATATTCTGTTATATTTAATTATTGCGTTGCTTTCTTGTCTGTCATTCAATGTACATGTTCAAACCCCAAAACTTTGAATATTTGATTTTTTCACAAATGGTTACGTTAGTGAGTTGCCTAGATCTCTCGTTACCTTCTCACACGAACAGATTAAAATCATTTGTTTTTACTATCATATTTCAGCTTATTTAATTCATAATACGAATAGAATAATTCATTTATCACAGTATAGATCATATTCGTTTATATCACTATCTGATCTATCTATTTTTAACCACGAAAATTAAGGTTTTATTGCCGAAATTATATAGTAATCGTTGATGCCGCGCTACACTATAATAAAAATTATAATCAAGTTGACTAGTATGTACATTACTACAGTGAACATGTACATGATCATGCCCTAATAATCAAATGTCGTAATATCAAATACTAATATATTATTATGTGATGAATTTGACTGGATCAGTGGTAACATGTGATATTAATATTCCATCAATTTCTATCCTGGTTTGTCTATCCATGTCTACAAAATGAAAATAATGCAATAAAAAAGGAGCACAGAACAATTCTTAATTTCAGACTAGAGCTGTTGAAATCTAGGCTTTCCCAATCATTATAGACTTGAGTTGGTATCATTTTTTACATTATTCTCTTGGGTCTACGTCACAGCTCATACCACACAATAACAAGACCAGTTAGTCCCCCGCCGGAGCGCCTGGATTTTGGTTATATCATCTAACATGGCCAACTCTGCTCTTAAGTTAACAAGAACCTAATTAGCGAGTGTTCCTTTATGATCATGCTGGGTTTTTGTCCTTTGCTTGAACAATAATGTAACTTCACTTCTTTTATTGAGTCGTTTATTTGTAGATAATTTCGTACACAGATATTTCATCTAACAATAATAATTGTATGCACAGTTCTTTATGTTGTTCTGTACACGGATTCCCCAGTGGCTATATTGCATCATATAGAATACTCATGGATGTGTATGCCACTGTACCAAATTAATTATGATCATATTCTTTATTATTATCCCATTCAGACCCGACATTTTAACAAGAACACACATATATCTAGTTCAGAAACACTAGACTGAAATTAATCCAATATGATTCCAAAATTATTAGATATATTAATGATTAATTTCATTGTGTAATAAGAAAACAAATGTCAAATAAATGGATTTTCATGTGAATAAAATCCAGAGGGCAAATATCGGAACCAATGACAGACCCTATCATTAAACATGATTGTTAGAGATACTGGGCGTTCAATAATTCCGCTAAACCACCATTTCACAATGGGAAAATACGGGGCATAATCGGCGATATTTATTTCATCAAATTTGCAAAATGAAGATCGTATCATGTATACGATTTCGTGATAACAGTGAGCTGACACGAAATATTAACGCACATATCACTGTCGAAAATGTGGTTTGTGTCATTGTTTACATTTCACCGATGTGACGAACACTTTCGAGTCTCGAAACAGCTTGAATAATGTTTTCCTTCACTAAAAGTAACATCGGACGTTATTCTCGTGACATATACATTGCAAGAGCATTCATGAAAATGCTAAGACAAATATTTAACCACCCGTTCTAGCGTTTTCCTATAGTAAATACACGGCTTGTCCGCCATGTTTGTTCGTCTAGTGGAGGCGGCCATTGTGCAGTCATTGCCTGGGTCAGTGTAGCGCCAGCGCAGCATACCCGAGGAACCAGGCTGCTTCAATTATCCAATTGATTTGATTAGAATATACTTGCGTCAGTGTATTTTATTAACGCCCAAAACCGTAATTTAAACACATATAATAACAGATCATATACACGCATGGTGCCTCCACTTACTACTAGCTTTAATAGGCCATCCCGGAAAAAAATAGTTCCCCCAAAGGCGAGGAACATCCCTTTTAGTCTGTTTATAAGAAATGTATTCCAAACAATATCCTCAGTAGATGAGGAGATCTGTTAAAGAATTGCCTCAGTAAGTCAATCACAATGACAGAGCGTCGTAATACATTTACATCAAGTACAATACGTCAAAATTGCCGACACGATAAACGTAACGGGAGATATTTCCGAAGTTGTTAATGAACCTGTGGTTATTTCAAGCCTTTGTCATCAGTGATCAATTGGCCGATCATTGAAAGGTGATTGTAAAGATGTGTCAAATAGATACTAAGGTAAACTCATAGATTGCTGTAGATTGTTACTACGATAGTTTGGATGTTTTGGGTTTTTTCGTTTTTATTTTTCTAGGATGGGTTGTAGCGAGGGTATCCTTAAACGGGCTATGCAACCAAACTCTCTGACTTATCCCAGAGTAAGCTAAGACGCTAAGTTCAAAATTAAAGGGTCTAAATGACGAGAAACAACGCTTCTGTATGAATTCGTACATGTACCAGGGAATTCCCAGGGTTTTCCCCAGGAATGTGGAAGTGGTCAGTGTTTATGTCATTTCAAGAATACAGTCACGTGAAAAACGTCATGTGACCGACCTCTCGTCCAATGGAAAAGCCGTATATCCTGTAAACTTCACATAAAAAAATAGTTACTGTTATAACCAAATGAAACACAACACATTATCCGATAGAGGTATCTGTGCATAGCGGAGGGATATGTTATCACAATAAACTTTGGTAACATGTTTTGGTTTGACCTCTTGGCGCGTGTCTGAATTCCTTTAACATGTTACATATCCTAAAACTGGCTTATCAGCAAATCTCCCTGCACTACGCGCCACAGATACTAGAGCAAGGCATGCCAGAAATACGAAACCTAATGCTTCCGAAAGGAAGGGGACCAGCGCCATCTCATTGGCCGTTAACAGTTGTACAAGGCGGGGCAAAAAGCATCGTTTTTACGTCCATTTGACGCTTGAAAAACTCGACCCTTTTCCGGACACTTTCTAGACGCTCGCCAAATAATCAATTTTAATGAATTTTTAGTAGTTTTCCCGTCCAATGACCATATACGGAAAAAACGACCTTTTCGTGTTTGCAGTTTAATATTGATAATTTTTTTAATTATTATAATCCTTAATTAAAATGATATAGTAAATAAACAACGCGAAGTATCAATTTTCTTTGATCTTGAGAAAGATTACGATACTACCAGTCATGCATCCCAAAATGAATAAATCCATATACAGTCGTAAGTGTTAAGATGAGGTTGGCAACATAGAAACACTCTCGGCCTACATTAGGGGAAAGTGTAAAAATAAATACTTTGTGGAATTCGGAAAGTGTCATCTGTTTTAGACAACGCGCTTAAGATAATTTATGGGTGCAGGCATTGTGCAGTATAAAAGGCGTGTCCCTGGTCACAATGTTCAGATTAAATCGTTTCCGTTGAACATGAAGTACATATTATTCCTCGCTGTATCAGCAGTTGCTGTCGGTGAGTATGACAGTCATCTGCATCAGCAACGCCGTCAGGGAACAGTATTTTGTTGTTTCACGACCTCAGCAATATTCCATCTTCAATGTTTATGACGGCGGCCTGTAGAGAAGCTTGTCATGTTTTGAGCAATGTCCCACCCTTGGCGAAACTACCATAGTAGCAGAAAAGCGGTTGAGTACACCTAAAAATCACATTTTATCAAAGATAAGTAAACCTCGATTTACCATCTATGCAGTAAATTTTTAATTCAAACTCTACATAGTCGAACATGATATTTATTGTCTAACTTGAAAATCGGAATCTTGCATTGAGGTATCAGTAATGAAGTAACGAAACCTTTAGGAAATAATATGAAGAAATACTAGTAAGTATAGTTATATGAAAATTTCACCTAACTATACTTGCTTGTATTTCCCTCAGGCGAGCAGAGAGTCCTTGAAAGTAAGTGTTTCACAAAATATACAGTAAACTACGTTTATAACGAACACGCTTATAACGAACTGACGGATATAACGAACTTACTTTTTTGTCCCGACTATTTGTTGTAGTTATGCTGTATATATATATGCTTATAACGACTTACGGTTATAACGAACTAAAATTAGTGGTCCTGTTGAGTTCGTTATAATCGTAGTTTACTGTACTTAGTTTGTGACGGCTCGCGTTGAAACATAAAAAAATAAAATCACATAGCTACGAATAAACATGGAAAACACATGAAAATAATATTATCGATTAGTTGCGCCCTGCCCACACCGGGTAATGATGACAAGAAATCAACCCAAACACTGAACCTGATTCCTCGATCCATGAGTCCCCCATTTAGACAGGCGTAGTTTGCTGGAGGGCAATTTGAATCTATAATCCCCATTGGCGAGTCAGAGGACACATCCAGTCGAGACCTTTATATAAAGTTTTTAAAGTCAACTTTATATCTGTTATCGTCTCGACTCTTATCTGCTATTATGTCTCAGTTGGAAATCAGTTACCACTTGAAGCGGCCATATAATATGATAGGCTAAATAACTTGCATTATCGATATCAACAATTAATTGAATGTTTTTATTTTACTTTAAGCCTTGGTGTGGAGCGAATCATGACACTTACACAACTCTGCACTGCATCAACCAAGGGTGCACGTGCACCTACACGCATGCATCATGTATTCAGGGTAAGTGAGTGAGTTGTGTTTAACGCTGCTTTTATTTGTTAGCTTCTTGTTTAACTCAGAAATATTCCATCCACACGAAGGCTGCGCTGCTTTTAACAGTTTGTGTTACCTTAGTGAACCAAATAACAATAAATAAAGCGATAGAACCCTTTACATATCCAATAGAAATCTCTGCATAAAACAGAGTCGATTGCACGATTCCGACTATATCATGAGCATGTGTTTATGAATCATTATCAGGTGTTCGCGAAAAGGTGAGTGTATCCTGCCCCACCGGTGGCACCCTTCACAAACACATGCAAAGGGAAGTCAGTTGTTCACCTGATATATATGTTAGAAGTCAAAATGGGGATTTGCATCGGACATCATCTTTGTCGCTGATGCGTCAAATTTGGAAATGTATTTCTCATGTCTAACACTCGTAAAGCTTTTTGAAAGCTTTTACTGAGGCCTTGTATATTGTAACCTTGATCGTACAACTTCATGGCAAGAGTCGTATGACGCTCGTTGAAATCTTGATTGAAAGATCATGCTCGATTGTATCTCAAAAGGTGAGAAATGTAAACACCATGTAAAGGATAGAGCTGCTGAAATATTGTTCCACATGAAGGGAAAGTTGACAGTTGGAAAGTTGAAGTCATCCCTCTTGTCACACAGAAGTGATGCAGGTCTCAGACGTTTACCACTTCGGTGAAACCCACGAGCATGTGTCCTTGTGATTTTGGTCCAATATCAATGCTGCTTCAATATTAAACAGATTGGGTTAACTTAATAATGGAGCAAAACACACAAGGACACATGTCATAGGTATTCACCACGGTGTCTGGTTGGCTCCATCTTCACGAGGCAAGAGAGTTAACTGACTACAAAAGTCCAGTTTCCACCCTTGCCGAACTAGGCTGGTATTATGGTATTACAGTTTGGCTGGACTAACGAGTCTCTGCATAGTCCAATCAAAATCGCGCAACGAAATCGAAATCCGGTTTGTGAACTGTCATGCAGATTTCCGTCTATTGCAGGATTTGCAAAGCATGTGCACTGCCAACTCGACCCGTGAAGATCAGGGGTAGAATATATCTTCAGCAACCCATGCTTGCCGTAAAAGGCGACTTTGCTTGTAAAAGATCACTTATAAAGATTATTATAAAATAATTAATTCATTAGATATTTTAAACATGATTCTAATATACGGGTGGCTGGTCAAAAAGTGTGAAACCTGAAAAACAAAACCAACAATTATGAAATAGTTGTTTTATAACATACACTTTTCATATCGGGCAATTCATATGTCAGGAGGAAGTTTTCTGAAGCCACCCTAAAAAAAACATTCACGGCAGGTCTTCGTTGTCGTCATAGCGCTTTCCACACAAAAGTTGTTTCAGTTAGGAAACAGGTAGAAATCACTTGGTGAAAGGTCTTGCGAGCATGGAGGGTGAGGAAGCTCTTCGAACCCGCATTGTCTCAATGTCGAGAGGTGTAAGAAGAGGCATTCTCATGAAGTAGTAGAACTCCAGCAGTCAGCATTCCCGCCGCTTTTCTTTGATAGAATGTCTCAGGTAATGGCGCAAATCAGCATAGTGGACACCAGTAATCTTTTTTGACCTTCTAAGTAATCAAACAAGGATCACATCCTTTCCATCGCAGAATACAGTGGCCATGACTTTCTTAACTGATCTTGAAGACTTGAATTTCTTTGGTGCCGGACAAGTGGAATAGTGCCATTCCATGGATTGACGTTTTGACTCGGGATCATAGTGGCAGACCCATGTTTCATCACCCGTTACTAATATCTTTTGGAATTTGACGAATTCCTTTTCAATTAGCTCTAAATATTTTCTGGCAATGTCAGTTTCTTTAGAATTTATAAACTTTGGCACCCAACGAGCAGATATCTTATTCATCTGTACATGTTCATAAATAAAAGGTCCAATGGATCCATGGCTTAGACCTGTGTCTTCCTCAAGTTCAGCAAAGGTAATACGTCTATCTGACAGTATAAGTTTGTGTATCTCCTTGATTGAATCATCATTGATGGAAATTGAGGGACGTCCAGATCTAGGGTCATCATCAAGGCTTCTTCTCCCAGCCTTAAAACATAGCTGCCCAACGTTTAACAGTGTAATAACGAGGGCACTTATCCCAATACGCTTGTGATGTGTGGTCATGAATATTTTGGAGAGTACTTTTATCTAAATCGAAACCTTGATGACTGCTCGTGCTTGTTCTTTTCCATTTCTGTGTCCATTTGGACCTATAACACGTTCAATTGGCTGTCACTTTTATACAAATGGCTTCAACAGACCATATCCACTTGCAATGAACAACTCAAACAATGTACTACATTGACTAGTTCACTTTCTATTGGCCCACAGTTAAAACTTTGTCAGGTTTACAACTTTTTGACCAGCCTTCGTATATGAAAATGATTTATAGCCACTTTGAAAGTTAGATGACAAATGAGAACACACGATATAGAGAACTTTATTGATGAAACACTTCATTCTTGATCATCTAAACGTTTTAGTTCAGGGCATTTTGTCAAAAATGAAAACAAATGTCATCTGAAGTTAACTGGGAACAACAATATGTGAATGCTGGATTTCATGACAGATAACATCTTTGTGAAATGGGGGGATAAGATATTGGGGCATAAAGTAGGCATCCCCACATGTACCAATTGTGCTCTTCCCCTCATTGCTGATTTGTTTCTCTGTGAGCTTTTGCAGAAAATCTGCATGGCTTAGCAACATTAAAACAGAGGAATTTAACCAAGAAGATTAACATATGCTTCAGGAATATCGAAGATCTGATACAATTCAATAATGGTCAAAGAGCCACATCCCTTCCACTGATTTTCCCACCTATACTATAAATAAAAAGTACCAGTGAAACAGTCTCATCTGTTTCATATGTAGATTTAAAGTGACCCAAAACTATCCGCAAGACTGTATGACAAGAGGGATCCAATAGTCAACTTTCCCTTTCTGTCGAGCAACATTCCATCAACTCAAGCCCATGTCTACATTTCACAAATTCTGAGATCAAGCATGTTCTTTTTTTCGCGCTTTTTAGAGAGCGCCATATCGTACTTGCTGGAAAGTTATTTTATAGTGGTTACAACATTCAAGGCCTAAGCAAAGCTTTGAAAAGGTGTTATAGTAGAGTGCATTTCCAATCTTGATGCATCAGTGACAAATAGTGACGCAAAAGGCAATTCCATATTTGGGCTTGTGTCATATGTTTCCGGTTTTTTTAGATGAACAATTGACTTGCCTTTGTGTTGGATATGTGACGGGTTCCACCGGTGGTGAAGGATACGCTCAACTTTTCGCGAACAGCGGATATCATCACTTTTTTATGGTGATTCAAAGACACATGCTCATGATAAAGTCGGAATCGTACAATCCTACTTCTTTAGTCTAATATTTGTTGATAATTTATATCTTGCCAATCTTGTCTTTATGTCTTCCGTGTTCTAATCACACATTTGTTTACATTTCAGTGGAGGAAAAGAACATTCATCTAATACTTACCACCGCTTTTTGTAAACTATGAAGAAGAACCATACATTGTGATTGATTTGTGTTTCCCGAAACCACCGGGTTTTAAAGAAATATAACAGGATTCGAGTAGGTTAAATGTGGAAAATGTCTGACAAATATGGCATCATGATATATGCGAGTGGGATAGCTACTGTTTGGTGATCAAATTTAATTCTTAGTTTTGTTTCTACTAAGATGGGTTTTTGTTTTGATAATAAGAGCTCACCTGGAAAGATATTCACAATTTTATACTATCAGCAAAGACAGAAACTTAAAACAAGTTGCTGTCAGCATCGACATTCAAATATTTTGAATTATTTTCTGCATTAATAGCCAGGAAATAAAATCGTCAACGCAGGAGAATAATCACTCTCGATTATCCCACTAAACAGATACCACTGGGTGTAAAAAGCAAACTAGTGGAATATTTTGATAAAAATGGATCATTGAAATCATGGATGACACCAGGTGTTCGCGAAAAGGACAAGCACGTCCTGCCCTATCAGTAGCATACGCCACAATTTGCAAAAAAAGTATGTATTTGTTGCCTGACACTGCACAGCAATTCCCCTGTCATGCAAAGCGTCATGTAAACAAACCAGACTGTCAAGTGAAGGTCAGAAATCCAATAACACGATAAAGCATTTACTGATTTTGTTGAAACTAAAAAAAATATGTTAATATATTGTTGAAAATTCTTGAATAAAATTCAAAAACAGGAAGCAACAATTTCATGTACGCTCTAACATGGACTGTAATATATTATTTATGTTATTGTACGCCAAGGATGTCATGTACAACATATTGGACAAACGGAGTGCTTGAGAGACAGAATGGGCGTCCATAAACAGATAAAGGACCCCATGCAAGGTTCATCCCTTAAGCGCTCGACAAATGCGCAGCAGGAAAAGAAATAGAATTTAAGATATACCCTTTCTGTAAAATGAATACTGCTGACCCCCAGCAGTGTAAAGATAAAAAATTGTTTTCATTAAAAGGTTGTGCCCATCTTTAAATAAGTAGCGCATGGTATATGAACTATATTTGTATTTATTGTGAATGTTACCACTGTCATTGTAAAGCCGCGGTGTTATAACTGTAATCACTTCTCCCTGAAGATACAATTGAAGGTGAGGTGAAATGGGGTTTAACGTCGCGTCCAAGATTATTGCACTTATATAGCGACGTGCATGTACGTGGGTGTGTTTGTGTGGCTGCTTGTACTAGTCCGGACTGATGCCGATTTATAGTGCTAGCTCACTGAGATACCATGCCGCAGTTTAACATGAATACCCCACTCAGACACAGTATACTGACTCCGAGCCGACCAGTCCTTGTTTTAGCCCCTTAATGCCGAGCGCCAGACAGGGTAACAAAACGTACCATCTTTAAACGTCTTTTGGTATGACGCGGCCGGGGATCGAACCCCGGACCTCCCGCTCTCCGGGCGGACGCTCTACCAATAGACCACGGAGGTGGTCAGATACAATTGAAACATGTAGAACAATTCGTGTTATTATTCCGTGACTTTCTTTTTATATATATTTCTTATATATAAAATCGTGTTGTCTATATATTTGTAGGATCTTGAACATGACTACATAGCTATCGTGGGTCATCAGATTCCCACAAATGAACCTGTTTTCTACATTTCATGACATAACCGCGCACGGGAACATACGCCCTGCGTGCACCTGCTGTGCGCAGAATCACAACATCGTGACTGGCTGACAGGGTTGGTGTTGGTATCATTTGAAACAGAAAGTATATAAGAGGATCAACCAAATGAAGACTTTACTTTGAAAGTTTTTCGCTTAACTCCAGACATGAAAGTAACACTGGTTCTCATCATTGTCAGCACCATTATTGGTGAGTTGAAGATACTAACGGCTTTTATAGTTTAGTTAGTGTCTACGTTAGCCGATGAGATTTGTTATGTACATGTATTTTTATAATGATAATAGTTCATATTATTCATAGATAATATTATTAATTTGCATTGCGCCTTTTTCCATGCTGGATATCAATGCGTTCTATTATGTCTCCGGGAAATAAATCCGTGTGCACTCATTTCCCTGGGGAATATATAACCTGATCTGCCTATGAGGCACTAGAAGACTAATAGTCTCATAACCACCTCACCGAAAGGGGAACCCAATCACTGCTGAGTGAACAGAGGCATGTTTCGAACAAAGGCACTTGCCTTTGGAAAACACCACATGTACTACTTGGGCTACAGTGTTGGGCAGGTCCAAGAAACTCTTAGGAATCAAGGCTGCCAAACACGCTCAGCCATCCAATTGCTTTCTTCCACAAACTGTGCTTAAAGCCTTGACCTGTGACCTGCAAACAGGATCACGTGCCCCAACTTTTAATGAGATATTGTTTCTTTCGTTCAGCTGTGATCGACAGCGAGCCCTGCAGGGATGACAACGACTGTATTCACACGTTATGTGATAGTACCGGAAGGCTTGCCTGCTCTCATAACTTATGTACCTGTCTGGTTGCGGCCAATAGCTGCGTCACAGGTAAGTCAGTTTACAAAATAGTGACCATAATAACTGCAGGCAACAAATTTCACATGTGAACGTTTTACTTAAGCATCTGAAAAGGTTCTCCTACAAGAAAAGGTGGTGACTATAAGTCAATAAACAAATTGGGTTTCACGCCGCTGATATAATGTTTTAGACAAATGTAGAAGGAACGACAAATATGATACAGAACAAAGATGATTACCATTTTGTTGAAACCATTGGCAATACAAAACACCCAATTATGGCGAATCTGTGATAAAAACCCACTACTAACACAGCGTCAGCAAAACCCTGGCAAAAAACTGCAAATAAGACATGCCCTTTAAATACAAGCCTGCATCAAATGAATGATGGAATCTAGTTCAAACCTCTGACAAATGTTTTGTCCTTTGTTGTTAAGAAGGAGGTTTATATTTCAGAAACTTGCAGAGACCGTCCTGACTGCGACAGCTGCATCTGTAGAGACACCCATGACGAACGCCACTGCTTCGACGGCCACTGCCTATGTGGACGTGGTGCACAGGTCGGCCCTGGTGGACCTGGCGTGTAAGTAACCATAGTTACAGCCGGAGGTTGTCGGGCATAGTTTTGGTTGATACACTTGAATCAGTTTTACGTTTCATTGACTTAATTACTGTCGAAAGAAAGTTGATGAATTTGTTTGCTTTTTATGCTTGTTTGGTTTTATGTCAGGGGCAAATGTCTAAATTTAGCCTGAATGTGATTTGGGACGTCAACGCTTTGATGGAGTTGGTTCAGAATGTTGGTGAAACACAATATTAGGAATATGATTTTAGTCGTGCATTTGTTTGTAAAACATACACAGTCGTCTTTGTATGGCATGCATATTTGTCTCATCTCATTTCAGTGGTAATACTTAAATCATTCGACATATAGAAACACTATATCAGTCCTGTTTGTTTGTTTGTTGTTTAACGCCGCACTCAGCAATAGTCCAGCTATACGACGGCCGTTTATAGCAGTCCTATGCTATGTGTTTGGATATATGAAAATAAATGTAAATGTAAAACGTCGACGTTTAGCAATCAGTGTCGATCATCTACCTAAACAGATTTCATTGGGCGTAAAAGGCAAAATTGCCATGAAAATTATATGAATGGATCACTGAAAATCAGTGATGACACTAGGGGTTCCTTCCGCAAAGCAATCGCCATCCACATCCATATTATAGTTCTTACTCTATATTCAATCAATCAATCTTTATTGTATGAAAGGTCATTGGCCCATATACACATACAGATAAACAATATTATTTACAGCTGTACAGCGCATTATATAATTATTTGATAACTAATATGATGCTTGACATGTAATAGAGGTATTGTAATAACAGTGGTAATAACCACAGTGGCAGCAGTAGTAGTATTAAATACAAAAGGAATACAAAAGGAATGGAATGGAAATATTAAGTTTTACGTCGCAAAGGCTTTCAGTCATAGCACGACGTTCAATACAAAAGGATCTATCAGAAATATACTCAGCATGTCAGGACAATTTAGCAATTTAAATGTATATGCATTTCTAGTAGAAACAAACAGACAAAAATGAAATGTAGATACTCCTGATCTAGATGCGAAAGTTTCAAAACAACTAATTATTTCTGGACATATCGGATTTACTAAGTAATTTACTACGCACTCGTAGACTTTGATAGATGTATTGTAATATCTTAGTTAATTTTTGACTAGGGATACCATTAAAAGATACTATTTTGTTCATGGAATAGTTGTTCTTAGTGATATCAGGCATATATTTCAATCTTAGGTTGTCGTAAATTGGACATATAAACAAAAAGTGTAATTCGTTTTCAATATGTTTTTTGCAGAATGGACAAAAACGCATATCCTTAGGAATAGAGGAGAAGCGACCCCTGTTGCACATCAAATCATTTAACCCTAGCCTAAGTTTAATAAATGCGTCTCTAATTTTTCTCTCTGTTATAGTATGTAGGTAAACCTCTGGTGTTAGACAATATTTAAAGGTTTTATAGACGTCGTAGCGTGTACTGTTATCTAGTGACGACCTCCATATCAATTGCTACCTGCTTAAAAGAGCTAAGAAAATACATTTTGTCGCCAACGCTTTGATTAAAAAAAAAATATCCAAATCCGTGAGAGAAGAGTAAATGCTTAATGTTTGATGCCCAGGTTACGTAACCAACACTATCACGATAGACAAGCATTTCGTAGCATTTTCTTGGGATTCGTTCCCGCGACATCTCTGTTATTTTGAGCCATTATCTGAGTAAACGTAAATATGAACAAATATATAACGGGTATCTACCACATTCGCCATAGACCATATGATTTGGAGCCGATTTAGAAACATTTAGAAATATTTTCCATGCAGTTAAGCGCACCTTTTCAATATTGTAATAGGTTCCAAAACTCCAGACCTCTGATCCATATAATAAGATTGAACTTGGTTGAACTTGAGCTATTCAATTTCTTATTTCTAATTTCAGAGGTAATTAAATCCTGAAAGGAGGAATACCCATGGAAATTAATTCCTACCTTGTTGGATACATACATGTACACATGTGAAATAAACCTACTACTACCATTTACTGGTTTGTTTTGATGCTGAATATGTTTACTCTTATTGAATTGATGCGTTACCTGCTTATACCTATGGAGAACACCCTGTGGTTATTCCGTGTTTCTAGCCTATCCTCGTCAGATCAAGATACAATTTTTGGATCTGGATTGGCTAGATTTACGTGACGTAGCTTTTCATACAGTCGCGACCCTCAAAGGGACTACATGAATTGGGTGGACAGGCCCGGTGGATTAGTTGATTGATCAACCGATGATCTGTCTGCTTCATACTCGACACATGCCCCAATGGTGTAAGTAAACCTTCGATTGGTTGGTTGGTTTGTTGTTTAACGCCACACTCAACATTATTCCAGCTGTATGACGGCGGTCTGTAAATAATCGAGTCTGGACCAGACAATCCAGTGATTAACATCATGAGCATCGATCCACGCATTTGGGATCGATGACCTGAATCAAGTCAGCGAGCCTAACCATCCGATCCCGGTAGTCGCCTTTTACGACAAGCATAGTCACCTTTTTACGGCAAGCATGGTTTGCTGAAGACCCCGGAATCTTCACGGGACTGTAAACCTTAGTGACAACATTGCTGGGATACAAAAGATTGTTTCATAAACCCTGGCGTTTCGAAAATATTGTAAATAAAAGCGACAGAGGACAATTCCTTAATCATTATGACATTCCAAATAGTTAAAGATATGGGGCAACCCAAAAATTCCAATTTTGGATTCGAATCCCGGTTCGCCCCGATTATGTGTCTAGGTTTGTCAGCACCATACCCGTGCTCGTGGGTTTAACCGAAGTGGTAAACGTCTGAGACCTGCATATCACTTCGGGCTTTCCTCCGACATTAAGCTGACACACCGCGATATAACTGGAATACTGTTAAAAGCAGCGTTAAACCCAACTCACTCACTCACTCACTGTTGAGATCAAACTCCGCTATGTCAGCTGACGTCACCGTGGCATGTCCCTGGCGACCCTCTGACGTCTTATCATACCAGATCAGATTGTGGTATTTAAAGAAAAAGATAAAAAAATATTTTAAGTTTGCTCGTGTAAAGGGTATGTTGTGTGTGGTGTGTGATTCACATTAGTGAATAATCCTTGATTGTATCAGTCGTTGACACCTGAGCAGATGGACTATGCTATGACCTCATGTTATATAACATGTGCACTGTAATGTATCACCGACGCACATCGTTGGGTCACCGTGTACGTTTTTTTAAGAGTAGTATTAGCGTTCTCTCGGCACACGGAAAATCACGTTTCGATTCCAAAGATGGATGGACAAAACCAATGATTAATATTATGAACAACGTCCCAAGCCGCCAGGATACAGGGGCATCGTGACCACCCAATCCACATAGTCACCGCTTACGACACAGCATACGACACCATGGGATCGCCACCGTCCGTATCTGTATAAACAAGGCTAATACATTCATCAAAGTCATTTCACATCATCAGCCATTATTAACATATGATAAACATACATCCAGCCTCTGGTTTCCATTAATACTGTGACCTCCTCCATCGTCTAGCAGAAAACGGAAAGTCGGTGCATCGGTCCCGACTGTGTCAAACCACAAAAATGGTACTTGTTGTTACCCTGCCTTGTGTGCATGCACGTCATTATGTAATTGTGAAACTCCTGAAGGCATTATTAAATCCCATTTCACCTTACCCCACCCATTTATTCTGTATTATGCTCGTGGGTCTTTTGACATCTTTTTTGTCACTAAATCCCTTTGAAATGCTGAAAGTGAGTGAGTGAGTTGGGTTTAACGCCGTTTTGAACAGTATTCCCGTTATATCCCAGCCTAATGCGGAAGGAATGTCCAACAAACAGTTATTGTGTTTTATCATATAATGGGTAGGTTTCTCGACAGGATAAAGCCAACGGATAAAAACGATTTCCGTTGGGGTCATATGCGGATAGAGATGCAAATATCAAAGGTCAAGTAGGGACTACTTTCACTGTTTATAAACAAACATGGCGTCGCCCTCGTCATTCGGCGATCGAGTCAGATTTAACCATCGGGAATCTGGATAAACTACAGAGATAACTGCTTTCATTATCAAAAGAACAGTCTTATGTACTGAAAATCAGTGTCTTACTGTGACGTAGCTAAGGCATTTTATACGTTTTGGCAACTTTGGAGGTATAAATTTCGAAACAATTTTGCGAGGGCACGAGCGGGATCAGTAGCCATATCTTTGTAGACCTCTGCGGCTTGAACCTTTCTCCACAAATTAAAATACTTGGATTTGGCCGAAATATGTTTGAATTGTTACCCTGTTTCGTTTTGTCACTGTGTGTACATCTGACTAGACTTCTTAACGTTATGACAGGACAGACCGACTGTCAACAACGTCTGATCGTGGCCGTGACGTCTCATAGACTAGGGTTAGAGTAGCTTCCCTTTGACAAAGGGCAGTTACTCTAGCAGACAGACCGATGGATTGCCGCGAAAGGCAATTAAAAACAATTGTTGTTTTGCGTATATGTTGCTTCGCCACTGTATAAGAAAGAGATTTCAGTTGGAACTATATTGGCTACTGTCACTGTCCGATTGACACATCACTTACCCTGTGACGTAATAAATATTAATGCGCGCATTCCAGGAAAACTCGCAATGTTTCGGTGATGTTTGTGAGAGAGGGAAAGCGATTTTCAAGCACAGAATTAAAGAATGACATTATGTGATAAAGAGGTTATCACGCTTGTGTGTTTGGGGATGGTAAATATCCTGTATTAGGAATAAACACTATGTATTTAGCCTGCCAAGGCTCGCTAAATACAATGTTTATTCCTAATGCAGGATATTTACCATCCCCAAACACACTCGCGTGATAACCTCTATAAAACTTTCGGCATTCGTGTTTTCTTTCCCATGATGACTTTCTCAACAAAGCCAGAGGGGGATGTATTATCTGACTTATGATCCGAAAGAAAAATCTGAACAACACTTATCATCAATTTTATGTTTGAACTATATATGAACCATTATAGGAAACGGACGTAAAATATCCCTTGCTGGCGTACATGAACCTGGAAAAGAGGTTCTTTAAAAGAATTGCGGTTTATCAGCGTCTCTGTAGCTTAATGGTTCACTCAATAGGCTACAAGTACGACGTTTGCATGTTAGATCCCACTTAAATAGAAATAAAATCATTCCGCACATTTCCTCAAGTTAGCGCTGCAATTTGTGTTATGTAGATTGTGTTCAAATGCAAATTGTAACATAAAAGTAGGTATGTACTCTGATCTGATTGGTTAAAAAGTGTTGTCGAATGAGCATAACATCACTGAATTTTTGGGGTCTCATCACCGTGTATGTATACATTAATTAATGGAACTGTTTTTGAAATCATCAACATGGAGGAACAGATGGAAATTTACCCTGACTTCCACATCGGATATTTCGATGAAATATTGAGTGATTGGGACGACGAGACATTTTCTGAGATAATTCAAGAATTTGAAGGTAAATGAAATTTACCTTTTTTCATTAATTTCCCAATCATAATCATAAATGATGTCATTTTCTTGGACTTGGCCAAAGGGAAAAGAAAAGAAAATCATTTTTTAACAGAGTAAAAACCATCAATTGCAACTCTATAATAGTTATGACTTTCATACACCCACCTAATTTTGTTATTATTATTACTCACAACAGCTGTTGAAGCTGAAAACCGTTCTGAGATGGCCCCTGAACTAGGAAATACAGCCAGCGTTTCCTTAGAGCCCAAAGTTCAAGCGTCCAGTGACCGCTTCGCGTCCCTTGATGCAAATGCAGTACAGGACATCGTGGATGGGAACCTCTCCAAATCTACTTGGCGTAATACCTCCTGGGGAGTTAAAATATTTCGACGTAAGCCATTGAAACATTAAAGAATACATAAACACATACCTAAAATTCCTACACAGATTCGATCAACGAGAGTTACCTCCCTTACACCATTGCCATGAACCCAAGTTCGAAGAGCTTCCTGCTTCTCAACTGAATGAGAGACTGAGGTTCTTTTATGCCGAAGTCAGAAATGCTGAGGGAGATCTTTACTCAAAATCGAGTTTTGTTGGGTTGCGTGCTGCCATACACAGGCACATCAGGGGACCGCCATTTGAGGGCAGCATAAACATTATCCAAGACCGGGAATTTCACACTGCAAACAATGTTTTTCTGTTCATGATAAAAAAACTTAAGCGCGATGGCCTTGACCAGACAACACATCATGCTGCTATCCCCGAGAATGACTTTTTAAAAATCCGTGAAAGTTTGGATACGGAAACTCCTTCCGGCTTGCTTCGTAAAGTGTGGTTCGACCTTACACTCGACTCAAATGGGCCCAACAAACGCATTTATGCAACATCGGACCAATTCTGTCCCGTACTTTCATTCAAAAAATACATGTCTCTCCTCAATCCCAACAATGGTGTTTTTTACCAGGCTCCCAAGAGACGAGTCCACGTCGACGACACCGAATGGTACACCACGAGGCCAGTTGGTGTAAATGTCATTGGCAACATGATGAAAGAAATTTCTACCAACGCTGGTCTCAAAGTGCACATACAAACCATTGTCTTCGGGCAACTGCTGTTACTTTGCTGTCAAACGCAGGCATTGAAAATCGCGAGATTTGCAAAATTACCGGCCACAAAACCGATAAATCGTTGAAGTCGTATTCCATTGACTCGAGCTCGGCTCAAAAACGACATTATTTGAACATTCTTCAGGGACAGCAGCAGCTCACTAACAACCGTAATTTGGTACCTGTCCAAGATACAAATATCCTGCCACTGTCCACTGCTCCCGTGAATAACTTCTAGGTTAATTCTTCTGCTAATTCCCATGGTCTCTTTCACATATGTAATTCCACTGTGACAGTAAACAACTTTTTCCATCCCAGCTAAGCTGCATATCTAAAATCTCGCACATGTTTGACCTCTCTTGTCACTACCTCAGCGAGTTGACACTGTCTTGTATAGGGGCAAAACAGTATGAACGTCTTTTCTAATTTTGATTATTTGTATTTTATAGATACGCATAACTACAAATTACAAGTAAGATGAGGAACTGTGATAAAGAATTGAATTTGTGATATTTCCTGTTGTTTGTTTATTTTCTGAGAAATGGGCTTGAACATGTGGCCACCCCTTTCGTAAAATGAACCATCATTATTGGAGTACCTCGAAACCATTCATCGGTTTCGCGGCACCCCATATCATGCATCCTTTCGAAGGTGAGCACGAGGAGACGTATTGCTAACGACAGTTTTGTTGTGTCATGCGCTCAGTAAATTAGTTCCTCCTAAATATCGATTTAATTAACGTTCATGTTATAATGTCGATAAATATTTCGTTTTGTAAGATTTGCGTGATGTTATGCTGAATGGGTGTACGGAAGTTTTTCATTTGAACATTCCACCTTACGGCGTCGTGTTCAAATGAAATTTCCGTACATCCATTACGGCGTCTTGTTCAAATGAAATTTCCGTACATCCATTCAGCATAACATCACGCAAATCTTACAAAACGAATATTTATCTCCTAAATACATTGTATATTTCCAACGAGGTACATTCTGAAGAAACACCACAAAAGTATCAATGGCAAACCCATGTCCCAGGGTCTTCAGGAGGGAAAACCTACAAAGTGGGTTTGACACGTTTTGAAGAGACAACCAACAAGAGAATAAACCTGTCGTAGGGTTATAATGCAGGTTAAACCAGATGGGCTTGTAACTTTATAATGGGCAGCAAGATATACATGTATGTGGTCACTACCGGGGTCATAATGCTATATGAAGGATATATAGTTGTATGGCCCCGGTAGTAACCATATGTATCTTGCTGCTCTTTTTTAAGAATCATACCCCTGGTGACTATGACTTTGTGTTTTAATAATTCCATTGTTTTGCCGACATTATTGCTAGGATGCCCTTTGTTATTATTATGTAAGCCAGTATTGCGGGTAATGAATTATTCTTAGTGTGGAATTAATAAACTCTTCTTAACTGCAGTTAGATTGGTGTGTGATGAATTTTAATTGTGCGAATGGCTTTAATTCCCCACCACCCCTAACGTATGAAAATTAAATGGTCGATCCTTCAAATGAGTGAGTGAGTGATGGGTTTTACGCAGCTTTTAGCAATATTCCAGCAATATCACGGCGGCCTTCAGATGAAATACGAGGTCGAGTAAGGCGGGTAACATCCGTCACGAGCTATATCTTATCCATCAGGGTTGTATTTAGGACTGACTGTGTATTTGGTTCGGGTTTTTTAGGTATGAATCGAAAAACCGATGTGGAAACTGTATGAATCATTAAATGAATGCAAAAACACGTGACCAATTCCGCCAATCAGAATGCAGGAATTTCGATGAACACAACGAAAATTTAATTATTGTTACTTAAATGAATTAAAAGGACAAGAGGTAGTGGAACTGAGTTTATGAATGATGTCTCCAAGAACGTGAAACATCGCCATCACTCTGAGGACCACGTGTACTGAATCCAGATGTCTACCTTTAGCTGCTGAAACACAAGGGTCAGATGGTTGGATCATGCATATGAAAGAGAATATTTGACTTTTCTTGTCAAATATTATTCTTATGTATCAACATGAAAAGACACATGTTTTATTTATTACCTCTGATCTTCATGGTCGTATTCTTAAAACCACAATTCCACTTAGGCAGATTTAAAGAAGTTAAATAAACTTTTTGTCGCTAATATTGCCTTTCGAATTAGTGTCTTCCAGATACTTGTCTTAAATGCTTTATAAATGATTTTATCACATATTTATAGTTTACTGTAATCTCCTTCAAGATTGTTTTCATATCTTCTGATAAATATAGTATTTCATCACGAATAACATAATATATATGATCTTTTTCTGACCATGGAGATGTGGGGATAGTAAAGTATTTCAGAGGTGGAAGTTTATGCATTACATGTATTTGTCATTATAGTTAAGCTATTGTCATTAACGTCACACTGATTTGTGGCTTCATTTTTGTGTGTTTGGTTCCTTTTAGACAGAGAAATATTTTAAGGATTTATAGATGGCGGAGATGATAAGGTGGACGAAGGAGGGTGTGGCCGGACTGATGGATGATGAAGATGCGTGAGTGAGTGAGTATGGATTTACACCGCTTTTAGCAATATTCCAGCAATATCATGGCAGGGGACACCAGAAATGGGCTTCACACATTGTACTCATGTCGGGAATTGAACCCGGGTCTTCGGCATGACGAGTGAACGCTTTAACCACTAGGGTTCCCGATCGCCCCGAATGATGATGATGATGATGATGATGATGATGATGATGCATGGATTGGAGGATGGACAGATGAGTGTGTGGGTAGATGGACGGATGAATGGTTGGGAATAGTTGATGATGGATGGATGGGAGGATGGTGGATGGATCGATCAGTTGAAGGATGTGGGAATGGGTGATGGATGGACAGATGGATGGGTAGGTGGGTAGATGAACGGATGGATGGATGTTGGAACGGGTGATGGATTGACCGATGGATGGGTAGGTAGGTAGAAGGACGGATGGATGGATGTTGGAAAGGGTTATGGATGGACAGATGGATGGGTAGGTGGGTAGATGGACGGATGGATGGATGTTGGAACGGGTGAGGGATGGACAGATACATCATTGATGATCAAGGGAGTTGGTAATCGGTTTGATGGATGGACGATGGAAAGTTGGATGGACAGATGTATGGTTGGTGGGGGATGGATGATGGATAAATGGATGATTGATGGATAGGTAGGTCGACAGAAACGTTACCCGGGATACCCGCACTGGCAACTGCTGTCGATGCAGTGCCAGGAGTGGTCACATGGGCAGTTATGTTGGTTAGCATAGTGTCTGCAGTGATTTGCGGAGGTATGGCATCCCTCTATCAAACGAAAAGTGGATAGTACTTGGAAGCAGGTAATATTCAAAGCAATTACCAATCGGGACATTTAATTACGTGTATACGCGGGCGTGTATATGCTAACAGAAACAGACCCGTGAAGATCCGGGGTAGAACAGGTCTTCAGCAACCCATGCTCGCCGCAAAATGCGACTATGCTTGTCGTAAGAGGCGACTAATCGGATCGGGTGGTCAGGCTCGCTGACTTGGTTGATGCATGTCATCGATCTCAATTGCGTGGATCGATGCTCCATGATGTCAATCACTGGATTGCCTGGTCCAAACTCGATTATTTACAGACCGCCATCATATATCTGGAATATTGCTGAGTGCGGCGTTAAACAAAAAACAAACAAGTAAACAAACAAACAAAAAACAACAAAAAACCAATACACATAAGTATTCTGAATGCATGTTCCTCACTTACTCTAAGACGGCCTCACATGGGCAACATTACTTTGCAAACATAATCTCCTTAATGTTTGCCAACTAATGTTTTCACACGATAAATATCCGGGTAAGAATATAGGTTCCCAGCAATCTTAGGTTGTCGTAAGAAGCGACTAAACGCACCAGGTGGTCAGTCTTGAGGATTTGGTTGACTGCATGTCATCGCTTACCAATTGCGGGATCGATGCTCATGATGTCAGTCACAGGATTGTCTAGACCAGACTCAATTATTTACAGAGCCATAGTCCATATAGTGCGGTATCAAACAAACACACGCGCTAACACTTCTCTCAAATGCCGACGCCATTTTGTAGCAGACCTCAATACAAATCGGTAAATGTGAAGTCCCTTTACATAATTGTTTTAAAGAGACGGTAAGGCAGGACCGGCAGTAAATGAGACATAAGTGAGATATTAAACACAAATGAGATGTTAAACACAAAGAACATGTCAAACACAAATGATATATTAAACACAAGTGAGATATTAAACACAAATGAGGTGTTAAACACAAATGAGATGTTAAACGCAAATGAGATATTAAACACAAGTGGGATGTTAAACACAAAGAATATGTTAAACACAAATGATATATTAAACACAAGTGAGATATTAAACACAAATGAGGTGTTAAACACAAATGAGATATTAAACACATGTTAAACACAAAGACGATGTTAATCACTATACACATGTGAGACACACAAGTGAGATATTAAACACAAATGAGCTGTTAAACACAAATGAGCTGTTAAACACAAAAACATGTTAAACGCAAATGGTATATTAAACACAAGTGAGATATTAAACACAAATGAGGTGTTAAACACAAATGAGATGTTAAACGCAAATGAGATATTAAACACAAGTGGGATGTTAAACACAAAGAACATGTTAAACACAAATGGTATATTAAACACAAGTGAGATATTAAACACAAATGAGGTGTTAAACACAAATGAGATGTTAAACGCAAATGAGATATTAAACACAAGTGGGATGCTAAACACAAAGAACATGTTAAACACAAATGATATATTAAACACAAGTGAGATATTAACCACAAATGAGGTGTTAAACACAAATGGGATGTTAAACACAAAGAACATGTTAAACACAAATGAGATGTTAAACACAAATAAGATGTTAATCACAAATGAGATATTAAACACAAAAGAGATGTTAAACACAAAGACGATTTTAATCACTTTACCTGGATGGGTTACACAGCTGGACACCAGGCACGTGCAGGTTCCCCTCACACAAGTCAAGGTCGAGAGGGCGTCGCAGCTTTCATGCCTGCAGGTGCCGGTATCATGGCCTTGGCATCCCTCGGCATCAACCAGGGCTACAAAAAACATTTATCATACCTCCATGTCAGAATGATGAGATCTGATTGGTTCACGTGATCTTGATAAAATACTATGTATCCCACATTGGAGGGAAACAATTTCTTTATCGGGGGAATAAATCCCTCATATCCCGCCACGAACAAGACAGGCTGTATGTGGATTTCTGAGAGGAGGAATCAATCCCGTATACCTCGCTATTTCCGAATATGACAGTGTATTTATTGTTTAACAATGATTGGAAATGTGTGACATTGTTTCTGTTGAGATTCCGTAGACGCTCATTGCGTTGTGTTTAGGCAGTGATCAGTCGTCAGGAAGTTAGATGCCAGTGTGGTGTGTAAACTTCCAGGCCGGTATACCCAGGACGGTGATAGTATGTTATGGAAAATACTTTAATGTTCTAATGCCGAAGGACTAGCGAGGGAACTTTCTCGGTGGTAGTATATAAGGGGACAACAATAGCGTGTTTACGAATCTTTCATGCAATTTCATCATATCGGAACCAGCTTCCAAGTGAGGATCGCTCATCATCCTAACCCATAATGGAAGCTTGACTACTGTCACTGCTGGCTATATATATTATCACTGACTTGTGCTATCACTACTGTATTTGATACTGACCACTGCCATCATATTATATACTGTCAGTGAGTATTGTATTATCGCCCTATTGTGTACTGCCAATGTAATTGCTGTGCAGTAATTGTTTTGATTTGTAAACCTAGTTTATGTTATAGTACATTTGTTGATTGTATACCGCTTGTTGGTTGTTTGTTCGTTTCACACTAAGTTCCTTTACGTACAGATTTCTGGGTTAACATATTGTTTCAATTTGGGAATCTACACGTAACAGAATCAATGAAAGTCACCTGGCACAGCAATCGAACAGCTGTTTTCTATCAATTGTGAGTTTGGTTTAATCCTTTCACAATGTCCTATTAAAACATGTCGATAAGGTAAATTCGTTGTAGCAGTATCACGAGGGCGTATGTGGTTTTATGCGTCCCGTGTCAAGTTTTATACCACGAGCGTGGCTAACGCGGAAAACCACTTATCATACCTCCATGTCAGAGTGATGAGGATGTGATTGATCCACGTGATCTTGATTAAATACTGTGTAACCCGCCTTGCAGGGTAATAACAATAACTTTCTAAGCGGGGAATAAATATCTTAAACCCCACCAAGAGCAAAACAGGCTGCACGTGGATTTCTGAGAGGCAGAATAAATCCCTCGTGATCCTGCTACAACTTGCAATGTGACTTTATTGTATAGGCGGCTTCACGCGGACAACAGAAGAACACAGATTGCCAACTTGTATTTTCACACTACAAAGGCGTGTTGTTGTTGCATAGCCTCTCTTCATTCCTTTCAAAGGTTGACGCCATATTACGCAGTATCTGATTGACTGAAAGCAACCAACATACGTTTGACAACCATTCACATGTCAAAATCGAGTTTGAATCACAACATTGTTGATCGAAATATTGGTTGGATATTCATTGCCAACGGTTTATCAAATTCCCCATTCTGTTTTCGCAAACTGAATGTTCCCTGGGTGGTATAAGATAGTATGCCGTTCCCCAACATCATGGCCAATAGGGGTGACTATAGGGGCACTGTACTGATACAATGGTATTGCAATGGTTAAAACACTATTGCTATTAATATAATACTGTATAACTATACGTTTATAACGAACACGCTTATAACGAACTGACGGATATAAGGAACTTTTTTTTGGTCCAAACATTTGCTTTATATATGCTGTATATATGATTATAACGAACTACGGTTATAACGAACTAAACTTAGTGATCCCTTTGCGTTCGTTATAACCGTAGTTTACCCTACTATTGTAATAGTGGTTCAGATATAGCTTTACTGTTGTAGTGGTACAAACTTTATAATACTGTAACGCGTGTACATATTCCTTCCCATTATTAAGCGGGGTAACGCTGATTGTCTGACAATGTTCTCAATGTACCCTCACATGTCTATTCAAACAAGGTGCATTGTCGACACAAAATGATGACGAACGGTAATGTTTCATAATATTTGTATCGATACTATCAATGGCATTTCGTCATCCTTTATAACTAATTAATTTCACTTCTAATCACTAACACTGGTACTTGAGAACAGTTTATGTTAAGTAAATATAAATAGCTACATAGATAGTCATATAGATAGCTACAAGGAAATATTTAACTTTCACGATTTTTCGGCCGTACTTTGGTAGATAGATAAAACATCAACAATAGAGAATATCTATTCCAAAACAGATACCATTGCACGTACAAAGCAAATTAGTGGTGAAATTTATATGAATGGATAATTGAACACCGGTGATGATACCGGGTGTTCGCAAAAAGGGTAAGCTAGTGCTGCTCTACAAAGCACAATTTGCAGAAAAAAATGTTTGTAAACATTTACTGAAAATTAAGATACATTAGTTTATCGTTATTTTAAAGTAAACATGAAGGCCTACATAAAGTAACCAGACAAGGGGCTGCGATAATAAGACACCTCATGGTTTCAGCTTCAAGCTAGAACTGAAGTGCTGGAAGTGAAGTTAGGGCAGAGAAACTGGGGCAGTGATATAAATGGGAAAGACAGCTTTCTGGACAGCTGGTCAAATAGGTATGCAGAGATACACACAGATATCTGCCCATTGTGTGTTAATGGTTTGTGAGTTGAAGACACGATGAAGTTTATTTTTAAAAGAGACGTATTAAAGAAGTTTTTGAGATGTGTATTTACCTGATAATTTGCATTGGAGCTCCCGTTTGTAAAATATTACTTAAAAAGGAATGGCATTCCAACCCCCCTTTTTGAGAATCGTTTGGAAACTCGAATGACAAAACATGTAGAAACATACTTTCGAACAAGACAGTCTTTGTTTACCGAGATGAAAGCAATCAAAACCCCTCTCACTGACCTTAGTAATATGTGTACGTCTCTAGAAAACGCAATATCAGACATGCTAATCATCTTGATAGAGTTAGCCATGAGCAGAGTGCCATATACAGGGATATCGACACACATTCGTCACCACTCGCCCCTTTCCGTAACCTGCAATAAGGCTCGTCCCCCTATCTATAATAATTTATAATGTTATGTGCGAAAATACGACAAACCAGTCAGAATGCGCGTATGATTTCAAGTTCTGCGTTAAAGAATCCCTCAGAAATAATTTACCTGTATATGGGCCAGTGGCCTTCATACGAACAAAAGACTTGACCGGAAGTAACTGAAACAGACATAAAATATGTATAGGCCTTCTACAGTTTACAAATGATGTTTCGTCAACACAGGCCCTGGTGACGGTAATGTCAGGGTTCGGGTATCAGATAAAGTTCGTGTCATGGACGAAAGGTGTATACATTCATTGTCACATTGCATCCAAGGAATAATATCTCAATCTACATAAATAATCTGGATCCATTTGCCACCTCAGCATTGTTTCGGAAGTGACGTCACCATCTCTATCTCTCACTGAGCCCAGAATTTCTCTCCTTTATAAGTATTTTGATTCGACTGCTATTGCGTCGAATCGGGCTCAAAACGGAGTTATGGGTCCAGGGTCTTTAACAGAATATAATGTATATAATACCCTGGATTAACGACGATGTTGTCATTCAGTTACTTACGTTTTGAATAGATGCAAGTCTTGACAGGGTATAGTTCATGTATCCGTATTTGTCATTTTATGGCTCTTCTGTCAGTATACAATTAAAAGATGATCTCGATGGAAACAATTAACACAATCGTGACGATACATCTAAACTCGAAGCTTATGTTCAAGAATAAGTAAGAATTTATATAGAAAGATATTCTATCATCGTCGACGAGGCGGCCTGCAACTACGCATCTTGTCAAAGTGGAACTAGTGGTTAAAGCTTTCGCTCGTCACGCGGTAGCCCCGGGCTCGATTCCCGACATGGGTACAATCTGTGAAGCCCATTTCTGGTGTTCCCCGCCGTGGAATATTTGCGAAAAGCGGCGTAAAACCAAAATCATATACTCACTCACTAACGTAACAGGAAAGTCAACAGTTTGTGTACGGGCCAGACACTTACAACCAAGGGAGACAATTTGCGGGGAGGTAACTCTTGTATGTCACTTGTTCCGTCAAAGTGTTATGTTCACTGCAGCGAAATATCAAGTTTGAGTGTTCACTGCACTCATAAAATTATAACTTTTCTCAACCTCAGAAAACTTTTCACACTGAAGTATATATTAAATTTTCTCATTGACTGTAATATGTATAGATACCTGCGATATGAACAAAGCAAATATTAAACAACCAGTCTCAACCGAAAGAGATTCCATTGGGTGCAAACAGCAAAACAGCGGCGAAAATATACGAAATGGATACCTGAAAAAGTCATGACACCAGGTGTTCGTGACAAGGGAAATGAAATGACCAGTGTATGTAATGTGTGTGATTATGTTTGTGTGTGCATGGATGGGTTCAAGTGTGTGTATGAACACAATGAGTTACATTGTGTGTCATAAAGTGTGTTGTATTGTATTGCATTTTCTTGTAATGTATAGTTATATTGTGATGTTTCACTGATCTTAATGATTTCTCATAACGTCCGGTTGGTTTGGGCACATTTGGGCGAATCTGGACTTGGAGTCCCATTATCACAGGACCAGCATCGCCCCAGACGATTGGGCCACCTGTACCCCGCCGGTGTAGGATGCTCAAATGACTCCCCAGGCTGAGATGACTGTAGAGTCATTTAAGCCTAGGCCCATATGACCGAAAGTCAAATTTAGGGGGAGTCGTTTGAGCCTACTACACCGATTTCGAGTAAATGACTTTTATCTTGCTGAAGACCTATTCTAACCCGGATCTGAATAGCAGTCTGATCAGTACAAGTGGGGTTAAACCCCATTGTACAGAAAGGGAGATTTTAATATGCATTCTCTTATAATTAGGGCAAATCTGGAATCGGAATACACGATCAGGGGACCTGCATCGCATGACACGACAGGGTCACCCCTCCCACCCCCACCCCCATCTCCCACACATCCCTCCACATGCACCCGACCTGATAAAACTAACAGTTGAAAACGAAGCGATGTTGGAATATTTAAGGACAACAATGTGAATTTCAAATATGATGCTGACAAACCTTGAAACATAATCAGGGCGAACCGGGATTCGAACCCACAATAGGTTTTATTGCGCGCCCAGGGGACGCAATTCTGCACAGCGAATCACGGCGCCTTAGACGATTGGGCCACCCGTGCCCCTCTTCCCTTGGAAACCACTCAGACACTATGTCTACGGTTCCAGCTATGCTCGCATCAGATGGGTCCCATAAACGTAGCTGAGTTTTCTTGACAATGATATGTGATGTTTCACGAATCAACATATTTCATATGGGCTGTGTGATACTGCAAAAGTGCATGAATGAGTGAGTTGGGTTTAACGCCACTTTGAGCAGTATTCCAGTTATATCACGGCATGTAAGCTAAAAGTGGGAGGAAAGCCCCAAGTAATGCAGGCTTCAAATGCTTACCATTTGATGAAATCCTAGAGCACGGGTTTGGGTTTGACAAACCTAGAAACATCGGGAACCGGGATTCGAACCCACAATCATAGGTTTCTGGCGTGCCCAAGGGACGCAACTCTGCACGGCAAATCGCGGCGCCTTAGACGACTGGGCCACCCCTGCCCCACTGAAAAGGTAACTTTATATACATTGGACATAACGGATGTAGTGTGATTGACTATAATTGCATCATCTTGGGTTTTTGACGATGTTTAACATTATCTCTAGAACTGAATCAGAACACCTCCAGATATAATTTAATCTGTCAACGAAAGTGAGCTACCATACCTAAAAGCAGAATTTAATTCAGATAACAAACTGACTACAAAGTATTCATGGAATGAGAAAACAGGTATATTCTTTGAAAGGCTATTTACTTATGGATAAATCTAAAGACGCTGTACAAGTAGTCTTAGGTGATATTAAGAAAAGAATTAGTACGTTTACAGGTAAGATCAGCTGACTGTGTTATATGGCAGTGTATTTTATTGTTAAACAATGATTGTAATTGTATTACTTTGTTTCTGTTGAGATTCGGAAGAAGCTCATTGTATTTGGACAACGATTAGTTGTCAGGCTGTAGTACTATTTAATGTAAGCAGTGGTGAGAAAGTTACTATTTTTCGATGCTCGTGTGATGTGTAAATTTCCGGAAGACCGTGGACTGAGATAGAGCGTTAGAGAAACATTTGGAATATTCTGTGATGTGATTTCCAGAGGCAAGTTAGACTGTATATAAGAAGACAAGAGCCTTTCGTGTTTTTCACATTTCATAAAATCAAGACCAGCTTTCGTGTGAAGGAAACTTATCATCCCGGATTCCCAGCCATGGCCATCTCGGAAGTTTGACCACTGTCGCTTCTGGGTGAATATATTATCACCACTGTTTTTGTATTTGATACTGACCACTGCCATCATATTATATACTGATATTGAATATATACTACCACTCTATTGTGTACTGCCATTGTAATTAATGTACAGTAATCAGTGTTTATTTGTAAACCTAGTTAATTTTGCAATACAATTGTTAATCGTACACCATTTGTTGTTTGTTGGTTGGTTTCACACTAATTTCTTTTATGTATAGATTTCTGGGTTAACGTAATGTTTCAATTTGGGAATCGTCACGTAACAGTGTGAAGCGTCCAAACTATTTTCTTGAATGTCGAACGCGACGTCAAACCTAATTTCATTTCACCAGGAATACTAATTCAGTGAATAATATAAAATGTGTGTCTTGGTGTGATTATTTTAAAAGTCTGTACAGCCTTTCCAAAAGAAGTGATTGCATGTCTGTTGAAGACGATCAAAGTGTATTTATTTATGAAAATACATATATGAATGAACATTGAATAAAAGATTGGATAAAATATGCCACTTAAGATATTTCTGATACTCCTATCAGCAGTGAGGAAATTCAAGAAACAGTACAACAAAACATCTGGCATAGATTATGTAGAAGCGAGATTTTAGTATTTCTTAAGTAAATGTAGTGTCACACAATTTTCTACTTTGGGTTTACAGACAGCCGTCATATAGCGGAAGTACTTCTGTGCGGCGTCAGGCAACAAACAAAGACTTACGTTTTATGCAAATTGTGTGTGTGGTGGGTGCTACTGGTAGGGCAGGACATGCTTACCCATTTCGCGAACACCTGGTGTCATCATTGATTTTAAACGATAAATTCATATAATTTTCACCGATATTTTGCCCTTTAGTTTCAATGGATATACTATAATTTGATGCTTTTGGGGAGTCTTCCCAGTGCCCGTGGGTTTCAGCAAACTGGTAATCGTCTACGGCTTCTGCCGCTTTGAACTTTTCTACCACAATAAATAAAATGGGAATTATATGAATTGTTGATGATTTGACGCATATTTTCCGCTGTATTGTTTCATCTCGGCAATAGATTTACCTCAAATACAATTATGTCTACTCGTGTAGAGGAAGAAAGCGTTCGTCAACGGTTGACGCGTTGGGTACGATGACTGGTCACTCTTACCATTCGACTTCCATTATATGGAGTGAGTTCGTGTCCTCCGATTAGTCAGATGTCCCACCAGTCAAAAAACAACAAACTTCATGGCTGATTGCCAAACCCCTAACTGTTTCCTATATTAAAATGGTTTGGTCCAACAGTAGGTTACAGAAAAACAATAAGAGCATTGATTTCTTCACATTTTAATTCACATTCTATAATGTGATTTGTTAATTTGATATCATAGATATTAAGAAAATGTACATATAATATGTTAATAATACATGAAACAAAAAATTATATTTCATAGTTTATAATTACATTTAAGAAATTGTACATTTCAAAAGTTTTGATCATCTATGCATCTAACAGCGTGTAAACGTTTTCTTCATGTCAAATCATCACCACCAAATCATGTCGTCTATGGTGAGTGAGTACGGTTTTACGCCGCATATAGCATTATTCCAGCAATATCACGGCGGGGCGTCGTCTATGGTGAATTTGGACACAAACAATATGCTTAGAGGAATCTAGAAATGTAAAATTGTCTTATGACAAGTGAATTGGGTATCAAAGGTTAAACATTTAATTTGCTCTACCAGATTTGGCTCTGTGTGGGAACACCAGTCTGTTGATATTTTCCCGGGGTGTCTTTCTGTCTAGATTAAGATACTGTTATGAACAAGAAATGGCATTCTTTTGTATTTGAAAGTTCAAAAATAATTTCATATTAACTATTTAAACCTTCTTCTGGACTTGAATTATATTTAAGCAGGACACCAATTAACAAGTTTAGAATTTCTTCATCTCGATTTAGATGTGGGTCACACAAACCTAGAATTGAAACGGGGCGTTATTGTAGAGAGCCAACTGAGCATCGGATTTGTATATTTTGGGGCACACATTGTGTTGAAAATGAATATCAATTGTACTTATTGTGATTATTATTGTGAAACCAGAAACTAATATATTAACGGAAAGTATTATATATTACCAGCAATACATAAATTCAATATGTAAATTCCATCTACAAATGTTGATGTTATACAGAACCTGTTTATGATACAATGTCTTACTCCTAATGTTACTGTAGTCATTCGCCAAATGAATGAGCTCGCACTCAGCAATATTCCAACTATATGACGGCGGTCAGTAAATAATCGAGTCTGGACCAGACAATCCCGTGATTAACATCATGAGCATCGATCCACACAATTGGGATCGATGACATGCATCAACCAAGTCAGCGAGCCTGACCACCCGATCCCGTATGTCGCCTTTTACGACAAGCATAGTCGCCTTTTACGGCAAGCATGGGTTGCTGAAGATCTATTCTACCCCGGATCTTCATGGGTCGAGTTGGCGGTGCACATGCTTTGTAAATCCTGCAATCGACGGAAATCTGCATGACAGTTCACAAACCGGATTTCGATTTCGTTGCGCGATTTTGATTGGACTATGCAGAGACTCGTTAGTTCAGCCAAACTGTAACTCCATAATACCAGCCTAGTTCGGCAAGGGTGGAAACTGGACTTTTGTAGTCAGTTAACTCTCTTGCCTCGTGAAGATGGAGCCAACCAGACACCGTGGTGAATATCTATGACATGTGTCCTTGTGTGTTTTGCTCCATTATTGAAGCAGCGTTGATATTGGACCAAAACCACAAGGACACAAGGACTGTATGACAAGAGGGATGACTTCAACTTTCCAACTGTCAACTTTCCCTTCATGTGGAACAATATTTCAGCAGCTCTATCCTTTGGTGTTTACATTTCCCACCTTTTGAGATACAATCGAGCATGATCTTTCAATCAAGATTTCAACGAGCGTCATACGACTCTTGCTATGAAGTTGTACGATCAAGGTTACAACATTCAAGGCCTCAGTAAAGCTTTCAAAAAGCTTTACGAGTGTTAGACATGAGAAATACATTTCCAAATTTGACGCATCAGCGACAAAGATGATGTCCGATGCAAATCCCTATTTTGACTTCTACCATAAATACCCGTGTTTATCAGGTGAACAACTGACTTCCCTTTGCATGTGTTTGTGAAGGGTGCCACCGGTGGGGCAGGATACACTCACCTTTTCGCGAACACCTGATAATGATTCATAAACACATGTTCATGATAAAGTCGAAATCGTGCAATCGACTGTTTTATGCAGAGATTTCTATTGGATATGGAAAGGGTTCTATCGCTTTATTTATTGTTATTTGGTTCACTAAGGTAACACAAACTGTTTAAAGCAGCGCAGCCTTCGTGTGGATGGAATATTTCTGAGTTAAACAAGAAGCAAACAAATTAAAGCAGAGTTAAACACAACTCACTCACTTACCCTGAATACATGATGCATGCGTGTTGGTGCACTCTTGGTTGATGCAGTGCAGTGTTGTGTTAAGTGTCATGATTCGCTCCACACCAAGGCTTAAAGTAAAATAAAAAAATTCAATTAATTGTTGATATCGATAATGCAAGTTATTTAGCCTATCATATTATATGGCCGCTTCAAGTGGTTACTGATTTCCAACTGAGACATAATAGCAGATAAGAGTCGAGAAGATAACAGATATATACAGAACTGGGTGTGTCCTCTGACTCGCCAATGGGGATTATGGATTCAAATAGCCCTCCAGCAAACTACTAGTGTCGTACGAGGGGACTCATGGATCGAGGAATCAGGTTCAGTGTTTGGGTTGATTTCGTGTCATCATTCCATGGTGTGGGCAGGGCGCAACTAATCGATAATACTGTTTTTATGTGTTTTTCATGTTTATTCGTAGCTATGTGATTTTATTTTTTAATGTTTCAACGCGAGCCGTCCTATCATAATAATGAAAATAATTGTGAAAGTGACGTTTTTTACGTCACAAAGTAAGTACAGTAAACTACGATTATAACGAACTCAACTGGACTACTAATTTTAGTTCGTTATAACCGTAGTTCGTTATTAGCATATATACAGCATAACTACAACAAATAGTCGGGACAAAAAAGTAAGTTCGTTATATCCGTCAGTTCGTTATAAACGTAGCTCACTGTATATTTTGTGAAACACTTACTTTCAAGGACTCTCTGCTCGCCTGAGGGAAATACTAGCAAGTATGTTTATGTGAAATTTTCACATAACTATACTTACTAGTATTTCTTCATATTATTTCCTAAAGGTTTCGTTACTTCATTACTGATACCTCAATGCAAGATTCCGATTTTGAAATTAGACAATAAATATCATGTTCGACCGTGTAGTGTTTGAATTAAAAATTTACTGCATAGATGGTAAATCGAGGTTTACTTATCTTTGATAAAATGTGCTTTTTAGGTGTAATCAACCGCTTTTCTGCTACTATGGTAGTTTCGCCAAGGGTGGGACATTGCTCAAAACATGACAAGCTTCTCTACAGGCCGCCGTCATAAACATTGAAGATGGAATATTGCTGAGGTCGTGAAACAACAAAATACTGTTCCCTGACGGCGTTGCTGATGCAGATGACTGTCATACTCACCGACAGCAACTGCTGATACATCGAGGAATAATATGTACTTCATGGTTTACGGAAACGATTTTGATCTGAACATTGTGACCAGGGACACGCCTTTTATACTGCACAATGCCTGCACCCATAAATTATCTTAAGCGCGTTGTCTAAAACAGATGACACTTTCCGAATTCCACAAAGTATTTATTTTTACACTTTCCCCTAATGTAGGCCGAGATTGTTTCTATGTTGCCAACCTCATCTTAACCCTTACGAATGTATATGCATTTATTCATTTTTGGATTCATGATTGGTAGTATCGCAATCTTTCTCAAGATCAAAGAAAATTGATACTTCGCGTTGTTTATTTACTGTATCATTTTAACAAAGGATTCTAATCATTAAAAAAATGATCAATATTACTTCTTTTTATTGCCAGAAAACACATTGAATATTTGTAATAAGATTATCGGTTTCCAAATACCAAACTAATCTATTGTTTTCCATTCGTTCCATGGTTTTGCAAACGCAACTGGTTACAGATATATGGTGGTAATTGGAAGCATCAGTAGGATCTTGGTGTGGGGACTACAATGGCATTTTGCCACGAGGAAGTAAATTCCCTGACGTCCATCTGTGGTCAAATATACATATAAAACTGTCTCAAGACATGATTCAAGGCAAATGCTTCAGTAACTGATGGTGGATATTATCATCACCCGCTGCAGTAAGAGCAGTATGACGCTCATGTAATGGAAATACTTATAATACATTATTATCTTCAGTTTCGCTCAAGTTTATTTGCAATGTCAGATTTATCAGTTATCAATTTCTCAAAGTCTTAAAGGTGGGATACGGACGATTTGTACCCTTTGCCTTTTATTTATTTAACCTTGGACATAGGTGTGCGTGAAATAATTTTGGAGACATAGTTTCTCCAAGATTGGCGCTCATTTTGTTCATAATCACGTCGTGCCTTGTCAAAAATAACTGTAACATTATTAAAGTTATGAACTGTAGGATGTTTGCGGAAATCTTTTCCCGCTTTCTTCCTACACTTTCTTGCATGTTTGCAGTCGTTATTAAACCATTGTTGACGAATATTTTTAGAGGACATAGGAATTATTTGGTCAGCAATATTATTAGTTGACCCGAAAACAACTGGATGGAATCTGGTAAATTTCTGAAATTGTCAGGTTTTAGCTTTTCAGCACATAATATACTCAACAACGAAAGTTCCTGTGACACCAATATTTTAGTGTATATTTTAAACAAGTAAAGTTTGGTTTTCAATATTGTAGTACATGTATGGAAACAAGTCACAAAAGCGCAACTGCTACAGAAAAGCATGCATTCCATGCAAAAGTCGACTTTTATGCAAGCCCCATGCATTTCACTACCGAAGAATGGGTATAAAAACGTGCGTTAACGGGAATCCATATGCATTGTTTAGCATCATGCTGACAACAATCACTCAGAAAAACAACAAAATTACGCAATTATTCAACATTTCGAAATGCCACGCCTGTCCGAAAATGAGCGTCTTCGATCCATTGGTATACTTGAAGCAGGGTCGAGTCAACGTGATGCTGCAAGACAATTTAACGTCCACAGAAACGCCATTTGGTGTTTATGGCAACGTTGGCAACAGACGAATGCAGTCAGAGACCATCCTCGGAGTGGCAGGCCACGCATAACCAATAATCGACAAGACAACCTACGCAATCGATTCAGCCAGCAACAGTGACTGCAAGAAGCATCCCTGGCCTTCGACGAATATCTTCACAAACCGTACGTCGTCGCCTCAGATGTGCAGGGATTGTCGCCAGAAGACCCGCCAGACGTCCCATTTTGACAGGAAACCACCGTCAAGACATCTACAGTGGTGCAGACAGCGCATACGCTGGACGGCCATGCAGTCGGGACAGATTCTATTCACTGACGAGTCTCGTTTTCACCTCAGCCACAGCGAAGATCGGATTCGAGTGTACCGTCGTCGAGGCGAACGTTACGTCAATCATCGTGTCATGGAAGAAGATCGGTTCAGCGGCGGCAGCGTTATGGTATGGGGTGGGATTACAGCAAGTCAGAGGACCCGTTTGATAGTGGTAGAGGGAAATCTCATTGGACAGCGCTACCGCGACGAGATCATAGGCCCTGTTGTTCTACCGTTTTTGCGTCGTCATGGCCCAGGCATTACCTTTCAACATGACAACGCCCGGCCTCATATTGCTCGACTTGTTCAGGATTCCGTTCAACAAAACAACGTGAATGTCATCCCCTGGCCGGATCGCTCCCCTGATCTCTCACCAATCGAGCACATGTGGGATGAGATGGATCGACGCCTTCGACGTCAACCACGTGTTCCACAGACACTCCAGGAACTTCGAAACATGCTCCAGCAGATATGGACAGATATCCCACAGGACTTTGTGCGACGCCTGGTCCATTCCATGAGACGAAGATGTGTTGCTTGCATCGCAACCAGAGGTGGACACACACGCTATTGATTTGTAAATTGACATTTTGGCATGTTCATGTTTTTTGTTTTTTTTCTGAAGTCAGTATGGCAAATTAAACCATTTGAACATTTACAGGAGTCCTTTATCTGTTGCAAACCGAAATTGTTTCAGATTTGGTAAAACAAACATAACTTTGAATGAAATCTTAATCAATGTCACAGGAACTTTTGTTGTTCTCTATACATACATAGTATGACCTTGTTCAAATGTAAGTTAATCTGAAACCTATTTGAACCATACAGTTCAAAACAACGCTAACCTTGCCAGACGTTTTCAATGTGCACTGTTTCCCTTTCAGCTGTTATCTACAGCGAGACCTGCAGGGATCAGAAAGACTGTAATCACGTGACATGTGACAGTTCCTAAAAGTTGGGCTGCTCTCATGGAGGATGTACCTGCCTGACTTCCGCCACTGCTGGTTCCTGCGCTCAAGGTATGATAAAGTTTATACATAGTGTTTACGATAAGTGGCATTTTTTCTCATAGCTGCTTAGGTAACTAAACATGATTCTCGTCTTATTTTTTCTCGAGATGCTAAGTGCATGTTTAAGTGAAATGTTACAATGCATAATTAAGAAACAGGTTTGAAGCATATGTACAGCTCTCAATACCTTTTAAGTCTGTGATCAATTGTTACACAAAGAAAGCACCGCCTCCTTGGTCTAGTGGCAGAGCGTTTGCATTGAGAGCGAACGGTCGGGCGTTCGATACCGCTTCACACCAAAAGACGTCAAAAGACGTTGTTGTTACCCTGCCTGACGCTCGGCATTTAGAGGCTAAAACAAGGACTGGTCGGCTCGTAGTCAGTATACTGTGTATGAGTGGGTATTCATGTTACACTGGAGCATGGTATGTCTGTGGGCTAGCTCAATAAAATCGGCATTAGTACGGACGGGTACTAGCAGCCACACATACACACACACGTGCAGGCACGTTGCTATATTAGTGCAATTATCCTGAACGCGACGTTAAATCTCATTTCACCTCACCCCGCCCCACAAAGAAAGCATGTAGAATGAATATAAGATGGAAAATTGACTATTCTGATTTCTGTGTTGAAGGATGCATCTTGTCCGTGATGTGTGTTGTCTTTTCTTCTTGTACTGTCATAGAATAACAGCGATGGCAGATCTGATATTATGATATCTGGCATAATATGCAGGTCTCAAGTTAACTAAGTGCATTTATTATCATTGGCAGTGACTCCAATTTGAGTGAGATGTGAATGGTTTAACTGAAAGCATTCTTGTACTTTTTATTGCATCGGTTTGAAAAAAAAAGTGGAGATATAGCGATCAGCATGTCCGTCCGTCCGTTCCGTGTCCGTAGCAGAACTCTAAAACGGTTAATATTTTTTGTTGAACTTGCTATACAGATCAATATAGTGATGAACTGGTGCTTTGTGATGATTTGGGATTTTTATGATTTTATTTTTTTATAGTTTCATGACGACATGATAACGTTTCCGGAGCATACCATTGAATATTTATTAATGAAAATTGTTATACAGATCAGTCTAGTGTTGAAGCGGTGCCTTTTGATGATATGTATATTAAAAAAAATACTGAACAGCATTATTTTTCTTCCACTGAACTGAAGCCAAACGCCATTTCCGAATTGCACCAGATGTGCCACATCCTGATGACTCTTGTTATTCCGTATTTTCTTTTATAGTATAACTGACATTTTATCATCAGATGAGAGTACGATTTGCCTTTTTTGAGCCACATGCAGCGCCCGTGTCGACTGCGACAGCTGCAGATGTAGAGACAGCCGTGCTTCACACCACTACTACGATGGGCACTGTCTCTGTGGACGTGGATTTGGACCTGACATGTAAGTAATCAGGACGATTCTACCTTTTGAGAAATAACCAGTAAGGTGTTGTAAATATTGCAAAGCATGGAGAAAAGGAGCTACCAAGTTATATTAAATAGTGACTTTAAATGGTATCAACAACGTAATACATCTGTTAGAAGTCATACCATTCATATATCTTTGGATGAAACATGTTGTATAATTTAGAATATTATGTTGATATTAACTCTATGCTTTCCTTATTTCAGTGGCAAACAAACTTTGAGGCAGAGGATCAATCAACTATTTATTGTTTTTGCACCATTGTGTACTTATGTCTTCTGATATGTAATAAAATATACAAAAAAGTCTCCTTGTTTTCCTTATTCTTCCAATGTATTAGAGACATTTCCAGTGTTACGGAGCCTATTAACTGCCTTGATACAGCTATTCGTTTATTTCCTGCTGACTGAGACATACACGTACAGCAATTATTTTTTTTTAAAACAAACATTTCTCTGTATATCCAGTCCAGTCCATGTAATGTTCCATTCTAATCATTAACTGATAGACACCTTGAAAAAAAGCGACAAAACCCTTTCCATAGACACAAGAAATCTCTGCTAAAAGCAGAGTTGTTTGAATGTAAAAGTTAATTGCATTATATATGCTGAGTCATGAGGATGTGTTCACTATCAAATGGTGATACCGGGTGTTCGGGAAAAGGTGAGCGTATCCTGCCGCACCGGTGCCATCTATTACAAACACATGCAAAGTCAAGTCAATTGTTATCCTGAAAAGAAATACGGAATGACATGGTGCGGATCAAAATATGTAATTGCATCTGACGTCAGTTTTGTCACTGATGATTTGGAAATGTCCTTCATTTGTCTACCATAAAACCTTTAGCAAGGCCTTGCATGTTGTAACTTCAACACCACTCTCTATTCCAGTTTTCCAACTCTGTTCTAAAAGTTGAAAATGCTCTGGCATTCCAGCTTTCCAACTTTTGGCTTGAAAAATGAAAAACATGAAAGCTCATATTTGCTTTCCTCATTCTAATTTGAAGAATACTGTTTCATATTTCATAATTTTGAGTGGGATCACCCTCATAAGTAAAACATTGTTACTCTAGTTTTGTGACTTCGTTCATGTCTCAAAATTGGGGCCTCTATATGACTGAAACAATAATGTTTTAACTCACTCACCAATTTAAAATAGTAAATGAACGTTAAGTTGTCTACCCTATCAGACGTATTGGACTGTGGTTTTGTGTGTCTTTGTTTCATTCCACTCTGTGCAATATTTCAGCAATAAATTATCGAGTTTGGACAGGACAAGTAAGTTATATCATAATCAACGGTCCATGCTTTAAGAAAAATTGACACACAATCAACGAAGTCAACGAGTCTGATCACCCTAATCATTTAGTCGACTCACACTACCAACATAGGTTGATCGGGACATATTCTACTCCATACTAGTGTATAAATTCATGATGTATAATTGACGCTATTATTGTATAAAGGGGCACCCAGCAATATTCCAGTATTATATATCACGAGTCACTGAGCCTGACCTCCCGATCCATTTAATCACTTCTTATGACACGCATATGTTTCTGGGACCTATGTGCTTATCTGGAATCACGACGCGTCAGATTGCCTCTGTTAATAAAAGAGAGGAAAGCAATGGTGCTAGCTGATCCTTTGTGAAATCCCTATTCTTTTCTACTGTGATCTATATTGATTGGAGAATAAAGTGTGTGATCAACTGCGAAAATTCTGGACCAAATGTATCACAAATGTCAACACATGGCGTAACATCCAAACAGGATTAATATGAAAAGATCACTTATAAAGATTTTTATAAAATAATTAATTCATTAGATATTTTAAACATGATTCTAATATACGGGGGCTGGTCAAAAAGTGTGAAACCTGACAAACAAAACCAACAATTATGAAATATTCTTTAAAAACATACACTTTTCATATCAGGCAATTCATATGTCAGGAACAAGTTTTCTGAAGCCACCCTAAAAAAAACATTCACGGCAGGTCTTCGTTGTCGTCATAGTGCTTTCCACAAAAGTGTTGTTTCAGTTTAGGAAACAGGTAGAAATCACTTGGTGCAAGATCTGGCGAGTATGGAGGGTGAGGAAGCTCTTCGAACCCGCATTGTCTCAATGTCGAGAGGTGTAAGAAGAGGCATTCTCATGAAGTAGTAGAACTACAGCAGTCAGCATTTTTCACCGCTTTTCTTTGATAGAATCTCTCAGGCAATGACGCAAATCAGCATAGTGGACACCGGTAATCTTCTTTGACCTTCTTAGTAATCAAACAAGGATCACACCCTTTGCATCGCAGAATACAGTTGCCATCACTTTCTTTACTTGAATTTCTTTGGTGCCGGGGAAGTGGAATAGTGCCAGTCTATTGATTGACGTTTTGACTCGGGATCATAGTGGTAGACCATGTTTCATCACCCGTTACTAATATCTTTTGGAATTTGACGAATTCCTTTTCAATTAGCTCTAAATATTTTCTGGCAATGTCAGTTTCTTTAGAATTTATAAACTTTGGCACCCAACGAGCAGATATCTTATTCATCTGTAAATGTTCATAAATAATAGGTCCAATGGATCCATGGCTTAGACCTGTGTCTTCCTCAAGTTCGGCAAAGGTAATACGTCTATCTGACAGTATAAGTTTGTTTATCTCCTTGATTGAATCATCATTGATGGAAATTGAGGGACGTCCAGATCTAGGGTCATCATCAAGGCTTCTTCTCCCAGCCTTAAACATAGCTGCCCAACGTTTAACAGTGTAATAGCGAGGGCTCTTATCACCATACGCTTGTGATGTGTGGTCATGAATATTTTGGAGAGTACTTTTATCTGAATCAAAACCTTGATGATAGCTCGTGCTCGTTCTTTTCCATTTCTGTGTCCATTTGGACTTATATCACGTTCAATTGGCTGTCACTTTTATACAAATGGCCTCAACAGACCATGTCCACTTGCAATAGAAGGTACCAGTGAAACAGTCTCATCTGTTTCATATGTAGATTTAAATTGACCCAAAACTATCCGCAAGACTGGATGACAAGAGGGATCCAATAGTCAACTTTCCCTTTCTGTCGAGCAATATTCCATCAACTCCAGCCCATGTCTACATTTCACAAATTTTGAGATCAAGCATGTACTTTCTATGACGCTTTTTAAAGAGTGTCATATCGCACTTTCTGAAAAATTGTTTTATCGGGGTTACAACATTCAAGGCCTAAGCAAAGCTTTGAAAAGGTGTTATAGCAGAGAGCATTTCCAATCTTGATGCATCAGTGACAAATAGTGACGCAAAAGGCAATACCATATCTGGACTTGTGTCATATGTTTCCGTTTTTTTAGATGAACAATTGACATGCCTTTGTATGGGATATGTGACAGGTGCCACCGATGGTGAAAGATACGCTCAACTTTTCGCGAACAGCGGATATCATCACTTTTTTATGGTGATTCAAAGACACATGCTCATGATAAAGTCGGAATCGTACAATCATACTTCTTTAGTCTAATATTTGTTTATAATTTATATCTTGCCAATCTTGTCTTTATGTCTTCCGTGTTCTAATCACACATTTGTTTACATTTCAGTGGAGGAAAAGAACATTCATCTAATACTTACCGCCGCTTTTTGTAAACTATGAAGAAGAACCATACATTGTGATTGATTTGTGTTTCCCGAAACCACGGGGTTGTGAAGAAATACAACAGGTTTGGACGATGTTAAATGTGGAAAATGTCTGACAAATATACCATCATGATATATGCGAGTAGGATAGCTACTGTTTGGTGATCAAATTTAATTCTTAGTGTTGTTTCTACTAAGATGGGTTTTTGATAATATGAGCTCACCTGGAAAGATATTCACCAGTTTATAATATCAGCAAAGACAGAAACTTAAAACAGGTTGCTGTCAGCATCGACATTCACTTTTGAATTATATTCTGCATTAATAGTCAGGAAATAAAAACGTCAACGCTGGAGAATAATCACTCTCGATTATCCCACTAAACAGATACCACTGAGTGTAGAAAGCAAACTAGTGGAATATTTTGATAAAAATGGATCACTGAAATCATGGATGACACCAGGTGTTCGCGAAAAGGACAAGCACGTCCTGCCCAATCAGTAGCATCCGCCACAATTTGCAAAAAAAGTATGTATTTGTTGCCTGACACTGCACAGCAATTCCCCTGTCATGCAAAGCGTCATGTAAACAAACCAGACTATCAAGTGAAGGTCAGAAATCCAGTCACACGATAGAGTATTTACTGATTTTATTGAAACTAAAAACAATATGTTAATATATTGTTGAAAATTCTTGAATAAAATTCAAAAACAGGAAGCAACAATTTCATGTACGCTCTAACATGGACTGTAATATATTATTTATGTTATTATACGCCAAGGATGTCATGTACAACATATTGGACAAACGGAGTGCTTGAGAGACAGAATGGGCGTCAATAAACAGATAAAGGACCCCATGCAAGCTTCATCCCCTTAAGCGCTCGACAAATGCGCAGCAGGAAAAGAAATAGAATTTAAGATATACCCTTTCTGTAAAATGAATACTGCTGATGCCCAGCAGTGTAAAGATAAAAGATTGTTTTCATTAAAAGGTTGTGCCCATCTTTAAATAAGTAGCACATGGTATATGAACTATATTTGTATTTATTGTGAATGTTACCACTGTCATTGTAAAACCGCGGTGTTATAACTGTAATCACTTCTCCCTGAAGATACAATTGAAACATGTAGAACAATTCGTGTCATTATTCCGTGACTTTCTTTTTTTATGTATTTCTTATATATAAAATCGTGTTGTCTATATATTTGAAGGATCATAAACATGACTAGATAGCTATCGTGGGTCATCAGATTCCCACAAATGAACGTGTTATCTACATTTTATGACATAACCGCGCACGGGAACATACGCCCTGCGTGCACCTGCTGTGCGCAGAATTACAACATCGTGACTCGCTGACAGGATTGGTGTTGGTATCATTTGAAACAGAAAGTATATAAGAGGATCAACCAAATGAAGACTTTACTTTGAAAGCTTTTCGCTTAACTCCAGACATGAAAGTAACACTGGTTCTCGTCATTGTCAGCACCATTATTGGTGAGTTGAAGATACTAACGGCTTTAATAGTTTAGTTAGTGTCTACGTTAGCCGATGAGATTTGTTATGTACATGTATTTTTTATAATGATAATAGTTCATATTATTCATAGATAATATTATTAATTTGCATTGCACCTTTATCC